TGTATTGCTGGGAATCATGCTAGGTAAGAGCTCTACCATTGATGTACACCTTGGGTCCCTCTTACCATTTTCTTTACTAGTTTACTAGCCTGCCAGAAACCTGAACAATATGCATTTCTGTAACTGGATGGCTATATAGTTTTAATTAAGGAAGATAACCATTTCATGCAGAAGAGTCAAGGAAAACAAGAAATAAGGATTTGTAAGATGGTTCAGTGGATAAAGGTGCTTGCTGCCAAGCCTGACAGTCTGAGTTCAATTTCCAGAACCCACTTAGTCAAATGAGAGACCCAATGCTGAAAGACTGTCCTCTGACCTCTACATGTTCACCCTGGCATATGTACCTACACCCACATCCACACACACACCCAAAAGAAATTCATTAAACAGGAAGGTTTCAGAAGAGAAAATGAGAAATAATTGTCATTTCTCCTCTCATAGCTACTGAGCCATCTCTCCAGGGGATATTGCTGTTCCTGCAGAGAACCCTCGTTTGGTTTCCAGTGATTCATAACCGTAACTCCAGTTCTGGGGTATCTGATGCCCTCTTATGGCCTCCATTAGCACTAGGCATGCACGTGGTCCATATACATACAAACAGGCAAACACTCATACACAGAAAATAATAAATCATTAAATTTTGTTTTGTTTGTTTTTTAGTTTTGGTTTTTTGAGACAAAATTTCTTTGTGTAGCCTTGGCTGTCCTGGAACTCTCTCTGTAGATCAGGTGATCTCAAACTCATAGAGATCTGCCTGCTTCTGCCTCCAAGTGATGGAATTTAGCCCTGAGCCACCACTGCCTGGCTAAATCTTTTTTTTAAGCTGCGAGGGTTCCCTGAGTGTCTTTACTCATGTGCCCCACTGCTCTCGTGTAGTGTTCTACTTCTTTGCTTTAAGTAAAACAACCCTGCTGCTTTGAGGGTGGGGACTATGTGGACTTTAAAGTGATGTAATGAGAGGACCAAGCAAAATGAATAGCAGCTTAAGATCACAGATCCTGTCCACCCATCAGAACATTCCCCTTGCTCATATACACCTTTCCTGTTCTGGCTATGGCACCGTAGATGGATATGGACTTATAGCTCTTTGCCTTGAACTTGATGTGGTGGCTCAACCTGGACTCTTAGAACTCCAGAGTCTAAGGCAGGAGGACTTCCTAGAGTTGGAGACCAGACTGAGCAACAGAGTGAACTCTAAGCCTAGACTACACAATAAAACCATGTCTTAAGCCGGGCATTGGTGGTGCACGCCTTTAATCCCAGCACTCGGGAGGCAGAACCAGGTGGATCTCTGTGCGTTCGAGACCAGCCTGGTCTACAACTAGCTCTTGTAGACCAGGCTGGACAGCATCCAAAGACACAGAGAAACCCTGTCTCAAAAACCAAAACAGAAAAAACATGTCTTAGAAGGAAGTAAAGAGCAAGGTGTTGATGGCACATGCCTTTAATCCCAGCACTTGGAAGGCAGAGACAGGCAGATCTCTGTGAGTTCAAGGCCAGCTTGGTGTACAGAGTGAGTTCCAGGACAGGCTCCAAAACTACACAGAGAAACCCTGTCTCTTTAAAAAAGAAAAAAGGACAAGGGCAAACCAACATGAGTTTTCTTAGGTTTCTCACCTGGGGATTTGCCATGATGTTTTGAGAATTGAATGAGAATGCACATACTGTGCTAGAATACAGCCTGATGTGTACTGAGTCCTCAGTAGACACAAATCACATAGTCCCAGTATCTCTATGTCAAAGGCCACACATCCTCCAGATGCCAGGTTCTTACCTGAGATATCCTTTTCAGCCCTGCCCATTTCCCCCTCCTCTATCCACAAGACCTTCTCTGCACCAATATGGCATATACTGCCAGTTGGATTCATCCTATATACTAATACTGCTTTAGTAAGCCTATGTATCTGTAATGGTTACTTCTCCAGAATGTGGTCTCTTAATCTTTTGTGTGGTTTTCAAAGCCCAATACAGTGTTAAACTGTAACAAGTTTGCAGCAATTCTTGCTTGAGAAAAGGATGCACTTAAAGTCAACTGAACCTTTAGATAGTGGTTCTAACTCTGTTGACCCTGAATGTAGAGGTCTCATCAGGGTTTTCACAAACTGGTCTGAAACCCTCAAAAGAGGGTTAGGGTTTGTTTTTTGTTTTTTTCTTGTTCTTAACTTCTGAGCTATCTCTCTATCCAAAAAATTTTATACCTTTGTTTTGGAGGTTTGTTATTGTTTCTGAGACAAGATCTCTCTGTTTAGCCCTGGCTAGCCTGGAGCTCTCTCAATAGATCAGGCTGGCCTCAGATTCACAGAGATCCAGATCCCAGTGTGGGAATTAAAGGTGTACAAGGCCACGTACTACCAAAATTACTTGTAATTATACTTCCTTTTTTCTTTTATTTTTGTCTGTTTTTTTGAAACAGTGTTTCTCTGTGTAGCCCTAGCCACAGACCAGACTGGCCCCAAATTCAGAGATCTGCTTGCCACTGCCTCCCAAGTGCTGAGATTAAAGGTGTGTACCACCACCTTTATAATTATACTTTCATTCTAAAACAAACCCAGTCCCAACATTTTGAAAGCTGAGACAGGAATATTATGAGCTCAAGGGGAGACTAAGTCTCCTAATAAGTAAACAAATCCAAATGTGTCATGTTGTATCTGATTTAAAAAATAATGTTTTTTGTTGTTGTTTTTTGTGGCAGGTCTCACTAGGTAGTCCAGGCTGCCCTTGAACTCAAGACAATTCTCCTGTCTTAGCCCTCAGTGCTGGGATTATAGATACCAGCTACCATGCCCAGCTTGAAAAACAAAACTCAACCCCTAAATGCTTGCATTAGCAATGCTTTTAGTGGAGTACAGGCAGAAGAAAGCAGCACAGCAATGAGAAAAGAATGCAAAGAATAGACAATGTTTGCTCCATTCCTGTGTTGGAAAGAGTTGCTGTGGTTGGAAGGTACTATGTGGCAAGTTAGTGCCCCCTCAAAGCATTTTACCTGCTTGCAGACAGAGTGCAGTGTTTTTTTGTTTTTTGTTTGTTTTTGGATAGCTGGGAGGGACCTCAAGGGTACAGAATGAGGGGAAGGGCCTTAGGGATGAAGTTAGAGGGAAGGTGAACCTCAAGCCTGGGAAGTAACCTAGAGGACGTGATTTAATGAAAACCAATGCATTCTCCGTGTCCCCAAATATATACATAGCCATTTGAGTGGTACTGGGGATTGAACTTGGGGCTCTATGCACACTAGGCTAATGCTCCACTATTGAGGTATATTCCCAGCCAGCCATTATGGTTTTCTGGTTAAAAGCCTTAGTTTCAGCAGTTTAGATACATGTAGTACTTAGGAAACAGAGTACAACCAGTGACACAGAAAGACTAAAAAGCTTATCAGATTGCTCATCACCTGGGTGATAAGACCAACGGTACCAGGATCTAAGAGAAACAGACAGGAGGAGGGTAAGAAAGAAAGTAGAAAAGGCTACTGTTAGGGTGTGTCTCTGAGGCCAGGAGAAGGCAGGGTGGTAATGGGTCCTCAGATGTCCACTGAGGACTTTAGTGAGCAGGCAGACCTTTAGCAGGCACTATTTGGAGCTCCATTTACTTTTACCTCTGGACCACAAGATTCGAGGGTCACCAGAGTGAGGGACTAGAGGAAGTCTACATCATTACCTGTACCTCCTGCTTCCCAGAGGCACAGAGCTGAACTAGGCAGAAGGGCTGGAAAAACCAAGGTTTGAAAGAGAAGCAAGCAGGTCCCTCACAGGTTCCCAACACTGTGGCACAGTGCCAAAAGCTAACAAGCGAACAAGCACTATGTATCAATTCTGCCTTCTGGGATATGGCTCCTGTGAGTAAGTCCAGTGCACCATGGGATTCATTCCCTTTGGTCCAAAGTGTGTTGGTGGGGGGGAGGCGGAGGGGGTACTGTTTGCCTATGTCCTTAGGCTTAGAATTCTCCCGAATGCCACCAGAGGGCAGCGTATACATAGAATGGATTCAGATGTTCAGAGCAGAGCCAATCTTCCTGGCAACAAAGATGTAGCAAGCTTGGACCCAGTACCTGGAGGTACCAACCACCCTCGACTATCCCTCAGATGCTACATACCCCACTTCCAGAGCAGGTCCTACCTGTGCATTCCTAACTCAGGGACATTAATCTACCTGCATTTTAGGTGTGTGCCATGTTGAAATCTAACGATTCCCCCAAACACCCAAGCCCAAGCACAGCCAGTAATAGGAGAAGGGAAAGGAAGAGAGATAAGAAATCAATTTACAGAGTAGCCACCAGGACTCAAGGAAAAAACTCACACTGTAACCTGTAATGCTAGAGCTTGACAGAGGAGCTTGTTTCCCTCAGATACACCCAAGCCAAATATACCTATTCTCTCCAGCTTCTCTCTCTGTTCTCTCTCCCTCCCTCCCTCTCTCTGTCTCTGTCTCTCTCACCTACTATGCAGCCCAAGTTAGCCTTGAACTCATGGTCCTTCTGTTTTGTTCATCTCCAGAGTGTTGGAATTATTGTCATGTACCACCATTCCTGGTAACTCTAGGCTTTTTGTTTGAGCCACAAATGTGTGTGGACTATAAGGAACGCCCATGGCTCATAAGTTGGCCTAGCAAAATCCCCAGAAATAAGAAATCAGACTTCTTCATCAGCAGGCAGAATGGCGACTGGGTTGATTCATAATCTACTGGGATAGGCCAGAACAGCTTATAGAAGACTCCAAATGTTTGAGCATCAATCTTCATGCTCCCTCAGTAAGCCCCGCCCACCCCCAGTTGGTATGTATACTCATAAGCACAGTTCTGGTCCCAGCTGGGGGTGAGACCACCAGCAAAAAAGGAGGCAGGACATTTCTGGTCTATCCTGATGGGTTGGGACACGCTCTGCAACAAAAGGGATTTGAAAGATCCTGCTGAGAAAGAAAGGAGAGTTGAACAAGGTAAGGTGTAGACTCTGACTAGTCCTGATTCTCCTCCTCTTTGGAGGTGTATTGCCTCTTGAGTGAAGGTGGTTTCCAATAAGCCTTCCTTTTATTAAGCCACCTGCAGGAAAATGTGAGAGTGTGAGACGTCAGATTGGCTGGCCATGTCAAACAGTGTTAACGCCACACTCTAGGTCCTCCCCTTGGTGGGCTGGACAAGCAGATCATTATATTACAATTTATAAATAGAAATAAAATTATCGGGTGAGACTGAGGCACCGGGGAAGACGCAAAAAAAAAAAGTCCTCATTAAAGAGTGCTTACCAGCAAACCCAGTTATCAAGGACCAGGGGACCACTCCTCTCAGCTAAAACTTGCCCTTAAACCAAAAAGTTCCAGCACAGCCTTTCTTTCCCCCCCCCTCTTTCGCCACGCACTCTCTTGCTGCCCAGATCCCCAGATCTTAGTCTGTCTCAGCATCGGTTTTCGTCCAGAGCCTGGAGGACTACTCAGCCTATTAACTCCTCCGCCAAGCGGTAAAGTAGTCGGGAGTACCAATGCATGCCAGTAGGCTGGACCGCACCCCCGGGGAGCAGCGCCCCTAGCGCGTGCAGCAGGCGCAGAGGAGCAAAGGCGCGGTGGGCCCATTGGTGACTCTCCAGAACCGCGTAGCAGGAGGCGAGGACGTCGTTAACCAGCAGCGTCCCGTGCGCAGTGAGTGGTGCGAACACGCCCACGGCTTCCTCACGCGCCACCCGGGCTACGCGAGCCGGCCGCAGTGCGTCCCCTCCGGGAGCCAGCACCGAGTCCCCAGCGCGTAACCGGCGCGCGAACACCGGTGCAAAGTCACCTGGAGCCGGCGCTGGCCCGCGAGCCGCGAACACCAGATGCCAGGGTGTGAGCAGCAGTTTGCGCGGAGGCCGCTCGGTCTCCACAGCCACGAAAGATGCTCGGCGCTGCAAATCCCGGTCCAGAAAGAGTAGCACCGGCGTGGGAACCACCCGGCCCGCTGCATCCGCGGCCAGCACCCAGTCACCACGATGGAGTTCCCTCAGTCCCTTCCGCTCGCCGCTCCGCAGGCGCACCGTGGCATTTCCCGGAAAGCAGCCTCCAGCTCGGACCGCCAGTGAGTTATCTGCAAGCAGCAACCACAAAGAAATTAAAGTCAGATCAGCAAGTACAGATTCCCGAAGATGTGGCTCAAGCCCAATGCAGATCTCACCAGTCAATTTCCCAGGGATCTAGCCCCACCTTGAGCAGAAGTGGAAAGATGTTTTACAACACTAATGCCTGTTTGGTCCCCTGCGGGTAGCAAGAAGGCTATAGTAGACTCGGTTTCCCCGAGAAAGCCCCCTTTGGATGAACCACCATCTGGCCTCTACCGTACCAGCTTTGACCGACACGTGGACGTGGTTTCGGGACTCGTAGTAGACCCAGTCGAAGCCGGCTTCCACAGCTAGGCGCGCCAGCAAACCATACTTATTGCGGTCACGATCAGACGTGGTGATGTCCAAGGCACGACCTTCGTAATGGAGAGAGTCCTGAGCGTGGTGGCCATCCTCATCCCAGCCTTCAGTCACACGTAGGCGCACTCCGGGCCACATGTTCATCACCGCAATGGCTAGAGCATTCACCCGCTCTTTGCAACGCTAGTGGGAGTGGGGAATAAAGGACTCAGTTTCCCCACTACCACTACCATCACCTGGCAGGCTATGGATGGAAAGGGTGAGGTGAAAGTGACCCTTAAGGCATCAATCAATGCACCTTTATTTTCTGGACCAACTTCATTCCCTCCCGGCTTTTGAGTGTCCTGAGGAAGCAAGGATTTGAATAGGAATAGTCACCAATGTGACTTCATTGCCAGGGTGTGCTTGCAGAGCCGAACCATGGGGTTAACCCCTCTGAGGTTGAGAGGGGGGTCCCCTACCTGGTTATTTCCCCCATCTGCAGCGACTGCCTCTCACCCCTGTTTGTTCCAGGACTCAGTCCAATCAGAGAAAGAACCAGAGTAGAGAGGGAGGATGGAAGTTTGGTTAGGGAGGGCCTGGCTCCCCGAATCGAGCCCTATTTAAGCCTGACCCCCGCCCCGGGCCCCAGCTGCCCTCCCTCTGTCTGATTCATCTTTTGTTTGGTTGCCTTCCCTGGCACTGGGCATCGCTTCCTTCCTTCCTTCCTTCCTCCTCCTCCTCCTTTCAGCCTCTAGCATTAACCCATTGGTGGTCTGGGTGCGCCCCTACAGAGGTGCCCTAGAGGAGGCGCGTGGGATCAAGGCTGCTTGAAAAAGGGTTGGGTTGCGGGGGCCGCATGAAGTACAATGGCCATTCTCCGGGATGACTTAACTAAGCGAGAATCTCGGGCCGAGGCCGGGAACGCGTCGGGAGAAGCGGACTCAGCAGCTCCAGCTACAAAGGCGCTTTTCAGCCGCCCCAGCTCAGGGAGAGGAAAGGGCAGAACGCCGCGCCCCACATCCCTGCTCTCGCCCGCCCGCCAGGTCCCCTCCCCCAGCGTGGCCAGCCTGCCACTGTGTCAGTCCTGAGAGCCCCCATCTCCCATCTCTGTTCCAGAATCAGCCCTGAAAGGCGTGGGAGGAGCAGCACCTGAGAATGGCGGGAGCTACTCCACCTCCCCGCGCTGGGTGGGAGTGGAGGAAAAGGAGCCACAAACGCAGGCCTGTACCCCCGGGGGAGGGAGGCCACAGTTATCTTGGCAGCTCCGGTATGGGAGTTGGAGACCTTGGTGCGCACCAGAGACGCGACACCACGGGAGCTGGAGCGCAAGAGGAGCGCTGAGAACAACTTCTTTTTTTCTCTGTCCCTTCTCATTGGATTCTACATGCTTGCTGGAGGGGGGTTCCCCCCTACCCTCTTTCCTAGTCAACTGCACCTCTGAAGAGGCCAGGACAAGTGGTAGCTCTTTCCAACTTTGTGTCCCCTAAGAAGGCCCTGACCTGCGGGGGCAGTAGCCCAGTACAGAGCCAACTCAATAGAGTCCTTTTGCAGCCAGGGTGTGGGAGATAAGCAAGACTGGGTGTGTGTGTGTTGGGGTGGTGACGGCGGCGGAGGGGGGGGGGGTGTCCCGGGCCTTTTGAGGCCTCCTGAGCCTACTGCTTGTTCTATCCCTCTGCTGCAGGTTTCCACCAGAGGGAAGGACCATAATATATTTACCATGACCAAGGTGGGAAAGGAATAAGGAATGCCCTTTCCCAGTTTCTGGAAAGAGGACAACTGGAGCAAGAAAGAATTCTTGGCCTGGGGGTGATTAGTTCTCACCTTTAATCCCAGTAAACAGGAGGTAGTGACAAGAGCATTTCTATATAACAAGTTTCAGGCCTGTCAGGGTCTCAAAAACAACAACAACAACAAAACCAAAAACCCACAAAAAACCCAACTTTCTTCCCTGTGCAGGTTTTCCAAACAAAGTAACCTGGAAAGCCATGGCAGTTAGAGGAAATCCGTACCCTCCCTGTCCCTCACCTCCCACTGCACACACAATTAGGTGGCGTAATGGAAAGTGTATAGGACCCGGAATCTGAGTCCTGAATTCTAGTCTCAGCAACGCCACTAATTAGCTGTGAGGCCCTGATTAAACTGCTTTTTCCAGGGGGGGGCAGTTCTCAGATATAAAGTGAGGAGTGGGGTGAAGGAGGAGAAATATGTCTTCTGAATTCCCTTTCAGTTCTGACACCCCAGAACACTAACAGAGGGGACCCTTCTTTTCCAAGTCATGGCCCACCTTATTCCAGGTAGGTTCATTTCCCATCCGTAACTGGTGCTTGATAATGGTAGCTGAATTTATTTATCCAGCCCAGGAACACTTCGAGTCTCAGGTGCTTCCATCTGTCCTGAGGACTGCTTTTTACCCAGTCTGTTGTTTAGACCCTAATACAGGCCTGTCCTGGTTTAGGACACCTCTCTCATGCCAAGGACAATTCCTGACCACCCCATTCTCAGATGCATGGCCTGGTAACCTGACTCTTGCCCATCCCTTCTCCAGCCCCCTTCTTTTTGGCTCACAGAGCTTTTGGACATTGGGCCAAGAGCCAGGCTAAGTGTAAAGCCTTCTGTAGGCTACCTACCCTAGCCAGCTCCTGGCCCCCAGCTCACCCCAGCCCTTCCTGCCTGGCTCGGTGGCTGACCCCCGGTCCACGCCTCAGCCATTTCCCGTCTCGCCTGCCGCCATCCTCCTTTCCCCGCCCTCCCTCCAGCCTTTCCCAGATTCACTCTCACTAACCAGTTCCTCCTCCCCCTCCCCATCCCAGCCTCTCCACGTTTGGATACTTCCAAACCACTACCAGCCAGAAGGGTATTTGCTTTCTTGAAGGATGTGAAGGAGATCTTAGTTTAGTTTATGAAGTGACAGTTCATCCTCCAGGACTGTGGTAGGAAAACGGAGGAGATGGTGGCGCGCCCAAGAGCAGGTGGGGAGAAGCGCTCCTTACCTCTGTCATCAGGCGGTCAGCCCCGCTGTTCTCCTCATCCTTGAAGATTATGTCGGGGTTGTAGTTGGGTACGAGGTCCCGGAAGCGCTCGGACCCTCTTGCTACCCTCCCCTCCGCTGGCCCACTCGCGCCAAGGGTCCGCTCGGGGACACTAGGCACAAACTGCTTGTACAGCAGAGGCACAAGCTGCTTGCGCACGTAACGCCGCCGGCCAACCGGTCCCCGGCCCGGCCCGCAGCTCTGGACAGACAGTGCCAGGAGTGCCAAGCAGCACAGGGGCAACAGACTGGCTGGCAGAGCCATGGGCGCAGCGGAGTTGTGTCGAAAGGGTCCTCACTAGCTCTCCTGTCAGTTGGGCATCTCCACGGGAGACAGCACCGCAGATAGAGAAGCCCCCAGAGTACCTGGAGCGCTTGTGGCTCCGAACACCTGGCAGCCGCTAACTCTGCCTACATGCCCAGGCAACCTGAAACCTACTACTGATAGGCTACCATTACAGGGCAGGTGGGTCGAGGGTGAGTGCCGGCTCAGCCAGCCTCTGATGTCAGGCTCCCGTGCTCCCAGAACGGCCCTGACTCCGCCTTAAGTGGTCCCCGGCCCCGCCCCCCGCCCTTCTCCCAGGACTGTCCCGCCCCCTCCCACCCGGGCGGGGGATCTAGCGGTCACCACTGTTCCCTTACTCCACTGAAGTGTGTCCCATCCTGGAAACCATGCAGGCACCTGCTTAGGAAATCCTTGAAGCTTTACAGTCCTAGCTATCTGGATAAGCATCCTTCTACCTCCGAGTCTAAATTAGGAAACAAACTGTCTTCCTCTGCTAGTCTTTGCTCCCAAAGTCAACTCTGGCTGGCCATGCCCTCTGCTGTCATCCAGGAAGTCTGAGTTCCAATTTCTGCTCAAGGCCATCCAAGCCCTTTGGGCATACAATCAAAGCCTCCCTCTTCTGTGGTCCTCAGGTCTCCCTGGTTCCTCTCTCGCTGCAATTATCCATAGCCAAGAGTGGATCCCAGAGGATCATTTTCCTCCGTGAGTTTGTATCTTCTGGGGAACAGAGGTCGACACTCACAATCCAGTTTAGCATTGACTGTGTGTGTGTGTGTGTGTGTGTGTGTAGGTACATGGCACAGCACACCAAGTGGAAGTCAGAGGACTTTTGAAAATTCAGTTATGCTCCAGGAGGTGGTGATGCACGCCTTTAATCCCAGTACTCGGGAGGCAGAGGCAGGTGAATCTCTGTGAATCTGTGAGTTCGAGACCAACCTGATCTACAAGATCTAGTTCCAGGACAGCCTCCAAAGCCACAGAGAAACCCTGTCTCGAAAAACCCTTTTTATCCCTCCCCTCCATCTTGATAGAATCTAAAGTAGCACAAGCTTGGGCTCAAACTCACTTCATAGAAGACTAACCTTGAATATTTACTCCAGATTCCCAGTGCTGGGATTAGTCATGTACCACCACACCAGGTTTATGTCGTAGTGGGACCATAACCAGGGCATCCAGGGCTGGAGAGATGCTCAGCAGTTAGAAGCACTGACTGCTTTTCCAGAGGACCTGAGTTAGATTCCCAGCACCACCTGGAGGCTCATTACCCTCTGTAACTCCAGTTGGGGTGGGGGTGGGGTGTCAAAGCTGTCTCCTGGCTTCCTCAGACACCAGACATGCAATTGGTACAGATATACACGCAAGCATATAAAACCTTTAAAATAAAAATAAAAAACTCAGGACCTCAAACATGCTAGACAAGCACACAATGGATCTCTATCAACTGAGATGTATTCCTATTTCTCCTCTTCCACTGAGACAGTCACATGTAGCCAAGCATGCTTCAAAGTTGCTATGTTAAGATGGATGGCCCAGTTGGCAGTGTTGGTGCACACCTTTAATCCCAGCACTTGGGAGGCAGAGGTAGGCGGATCTCTGTGAGGTTGAGAACAGCTTGGTTCCAGGACAGACTCCAAAGCTACAGAGAATCCCTGCCTGGAAAAACAAAAACAAGCAAAAAAAAAAAAAAAAATGGATGGCCTAAGGACTGGCGGGGGTGGTACACACCTTTAATCCAAGCCCTCTGGATTTAGATGCATTGGAACCTCAGGGTTTAAGGCCAGCCTGGTTTACAAAGCAAGTTCCAGGACAGCCAGAGCTAGCTGCACACAGAGAAATCCTGTCTCAAAAAACCCAACCAACCAAATAAACAAACAAAAGAGATGGCCCTGAAATCCTGAGTGCTAGGACTTACAAGCATGGACTTCATCCTGCACAATGCATTTTGAATAGGTCATTTGTCATTTGGAAGCTGCTGAAAGGCAGTGGACACCTAAAGTCCTGGTCTTTAGGAGGATAGGGACCAGTTCTCTTCACCTTCTGTCCTCTGTCTTCTCCCCTGGACTAGGGAATCTATATCCAACCCTCCAGGCCTTACCCTGAGACACTTACCCACCAGTTCCTATCATTTAGTCAGCTGCTCTGTGAGGAGTGCAGTGGAGAGCAGGAGGTAGCGATGTAGGCACATACATGCAGGCAAAACACTCAGACATAAAATTAAAAATGAAAACAATAAAAATCAAGGAGCCTGGAGGAAGGACCCGAAACAGAGGCCATGGAAAAATATAGGCTTTTCCTGACTGTTTTTTCATACAACCCAGAACCACCTGCCTAGGGCAGCACTGCCCACATGGGCTGGGTCCTTCTACATCAATTAAAAAAAAAGACTTATGTATTTATTATGTATAGTATTCTGCCTACAGGGCAGAAGAGGGCACGAGATCTCACTATAGTTGTGAGCCACCATGAGTTTGCTAGGAATTGAACTCATGACCTCTGGAAGTGCAACCAGTGCTCTTAACCTCTGAGCCATCTTCCCAGCCCTCTCCATCAATTATTAAAGAAAATGCTCTACAGATTTGTCTACAGGCCAATCTTTTTATTTTTTATTTTTTATTTTTTGGTTTTTTGAGACAGGGTTTCTCTGTATTGTTTTGGAGGCTGTCCTGGAACTCGCTCTGTAGACCAGGCTGGCCTCGAACTCACAGAGATCCGCCTGCCTCTGCCTCCCTAGTGCTGGGATTAAACACTGCCTACAGGACAATCTTATGGAGAGATTTTCTCAGGCTAGATTCTTTTCCCAGGTATGTCTAGATTTGTTTCAAACCAACTATGATACTAACTGTGTTTGTTACTGGAAGCCAATTAAGGATGGAGCAATGGATCACCTGCTTCTCCAAAGGACCAAGGCTTAATTCCCAGCACCCACTTGGCAACCTGCCAGTGGTCCATATCTCCAATACCAGGGTATTCAACACCTTCTTCTGGCCTCCTCAGGCACTGAACTCATGTGGTACACAGTCATACAGTCAGGCAAAACACAGACATAAAATAAAAACAAAATCTAAATAAAACATTTTAAGGTCAGTTAAAAATGTAAACACTGGTAATTGGAGAGATGTTCTAGCATGTAAGAACACTTTCTGCTCTTACCGAAGACCCAAGTTTATCTCCTAGCTCACAATTAACTATAACTCCAGCTCTAGGGCATCCAATACCCTCCCTCTCAGGACTCCACGGACACATGTACACACACACACACACACACACACACACACACACACACACACGAGAATAAATCATTTGTGCTGGAAAGATGGCTAAGCAGTTAAGAGCGCTTGCTGTTATTGCAGAAGACCTGTGTTTGACTCTCAACATCATCTTGTCAGCTCACAACTTCCTGAATTCCAGGTTCAGAGACTATGATGTCCTCTTTTGGACTCTAGGAGGCACCAGGCTTGTACACAGTAGATACACAGACATGCACACTGACATTCATACACAAAAGCTAAAGACAGTATTTAATTTTTATTTATCTTTTTTTTTTTTTTTTTTTTTTTTTGGTTTTTCGAGACAGGGTTTCTCTGTGGCTTTGGATGCTGTCCTGGAACTAGCTCTGTAGACCAGGTTGGCCTCGAACTCACAGAGATCCGCCTGCCTCTGCCTCCCGAGTGCTGGGATTAAAGGCGTGCGCCACCACCGCCCGGCTTTATTTATCTTTTTTGAGGTAGGGTTTCTCACCACTCTTGCCAGGCTAAAAGCAAACCTTAAAACTGTTGAAGCTGTGTGGTGATGGTGCACGTCTTTAATCCCAGCACTTGGGAGGCAGAGGCAGGTGTATCTCTGTGACTCTGAGGCCAGCCTGGTCTACAGAGTGAGTTTCAGGACAGCCAGGACTATGCAGAGAAACCCTGTCTCAAAAACACTAACAAAAATTCCAAGATGGGGTGTCTCTATTTATCCTTAACTGTTTTGGAACTTGCTATGTAGACTACGTTAGCCTTGAACTCAGAGATCTACCTGCCTATGCTTCTCAAAGGCTGAGATGAAAGGTGCATACCAGTATACCTGGCCAAAGTTATTTTGTTTGTCTTTGTTTTGTTTGTTTCTTTAAAAGGGCTAGGCATGGTACTGCACAACTTTAATCCCAACACTCAGAAGGCAACACCAAGTGGATCTCTGTGATTTGGAGGCCAACCTGAGCTATATAATGAGACCTTTTACCTTTTTCTTTTTTTCTTTCTTTCTTTTTTTTTTTTTTTGAGACAGGGTTTCTCTGTGTAACAGACCTGGTTGTCCTGGAACTCGATTTGTAGACCAAACTGGCCTGGAACTCACAGAAATCTGGTTGTCTCTGCCTCCCCGGAGTAAAGGCATGCACCACCACTGGCTTGGTATATAAAAGTACTTGCTACCAAGCCTGGCAACCTGATTTTGATCAAAACTCATGATAGAAGGAGAGAACCAAAGTAAGTTGTCCTACGACCTTTACACTTACACCATAGTGTGCCCGTGCACACATGTGCAAAACAAACATTACAAAATAAAAAACAAAAAACCTTCCCTGATGTCCTGACACTGTGACCAATGTCCCCTTGTAGGGCAGCCACTAACCGCTAGAGAACAAGTATCAGAATACCGGCATCCTTTTAGACAAAGCAATTCTTCAGCACAAGCTTGCTTATCATGTATTTCCAAGGCCGTCTAGCTTAAAGTACTGCACTTGGCAAGTATTTGTGGAATCTACACTTTTTGTATTCCACATACCCCCTCCCTTCACCCAGTTCCAAGGCTAGCACTCAGTGACTTTCTATGAACTGGGAGAACAAAAAGCAGAGAAACCCCTTTCCAACATCTGACTTCCATTTACAAGGAAGTGATCACGCAGGGGCAACGTAGCTCAAGGATGGAGCAAGTGCCTAGCGAGTGTGAGGCCCTGGGCCTGACACCCACAGCCTGCCCCGGGCTGGGAAGGTCAGCGGGGCTAATCCCTGTAATCCCAGAACTAAGCAGGCAGGGGCAGGTGGATCTCTGAGAGTCTGGGGTCAGCCTGGCCAACACAGTAAGTTCCAGGCCAGCCAGGGACTACACAGGGATTCTGACTCAAGCAAAACAACAAAAAATAGTAATTACAAGTAACTACTATGAGAGAAATGGTCACTTTTGAAACTATGTAATGGATAATCTGTAGAAGTCTACAGAAGGTTTGTTTCTGAGAACAAGGAATTTTCAGTCTTTACAAAAATA